CACCGGGCCAAGACAAGGAATCTCCTCCAGGCCACACCCAACGTCTCCACCGTTGAAATTCCTTCCCTGGGTCATCCTTTTCCTCCAGATGAGCTTTTCTCCGATAAACGATCAATGAATCGATAAGTATCAGCACGGAGACGCTTTTCGACGTTTATTCGGGTTTCCCCTCGGTTCGCGTCACTCCGAAGGGACCCAGGTCCCTTTTCAATTTATTTTCCAATATTTGCTCGACGACATGCCTCGGCAAAAATAAGTTGGATGAAACTTGAATCTAGAGGTGTGAGCATGAGTGGTTTTCGACTCACGATCACGAGATGAATTATTAAGATTATTTATTTATTATTTTTTTATTAAGATTATTTTAAGAATACCCGTAATTCGATCGGCGTCGTTTGAGAATCGCGATCGCGCGCGATCATGGTCACCGTGAATTGAACTCACGCGTGACGCCTCGTGAGTCGTGTCACACGTGAGAGTCGGCTCCTCCTTTCCCCTTCGAAATTATATAAAATAAGCATTTCCTTTAGATCTCGTATTTAGAAAATGGTAAATGGTAAGAAACTCTGTAGTCGCCGGATGACTCGATAGAAGTGGTGATCCCTTTCTTCCGAGAACACGCGGAGAAAAAATCAATTCCAGAAATACCGTTGAAAAGCTTGTAAAAAATGAAACTCCAGACGTTCTCAACACAAAAACACTAAAAGGAATTTTAAAAAGAAAGGAATTCACCTTCGATCACGACCACGAGTGAAACAGAAAAGAAGTCGAGAGTGGAGCGTGAAAATCATGCGCAAAACTGTACTCACGCTCACCTCTAGCGCACGATTCACGCGTGATTCAGGTTTCACTCCGGTGATTGCTCATATACATCAGTTAAAAACTGTTTATCTTTTTTGCCGTTTATTTTATGGGCTTCGACAGAGATTCTTCGGAAATCAAGCTTTCGGGGCAAAATTTCACTCTTTCCTGAGGCATCCCCCCCCCTTCCCCCCTTCCCCCCCTCCCCCCCCCCCCCCAAAAAAAAAAAATTATTCTGCCGTCTTTTCCGCTCGTCGTTTTACTGCGCAGTTTGCTGCATCGTCAGCGAGGTTTGTCTGAGATAGAGGCATGAGGAAGTCCTTCCGGTTCTGAGCGATGGAAAAATCTATGTTTTGTTATGCAGGCGAAACAAGAACGAATGAGACATCGAGAGGAGTAAAAATAAAAATAAAAATAGCAATAATACAGGGTGGGTCACTTAAAAGTAGCCCGCCTCTGGTCCGAGCGTGGCGGAGGTGGTCGCCCCTTTGCACACTGTTCTTACCGACCGTCTGTCTGTCTGGCGACGTCTTGTCGCCCCATGTGCAGACTTCCAGCTTGTAAAACGGGACGATTAGTCAGGAACACTTGTGCAGCGCAGCTTTTCTACCACAATTCCCTGCAGCAGCGAATAGTGATCGTGGAAGGCTAGTATTATAGGAGGCGGGCTACTTTTAAGTGGCCCACCCTGTAGATTCGATGCACAGGACTAAAAAAAGCGAGGAAAAAAAAGACTTAATATTCATCCAGTCCGGGTCCCATCAACGAAATCGGTGAGTTGCTTCGCGGAACTCAATCTCAGCGACCGAGAATTTTTTTTTTCCTTTCTATTTTGACGCCTGCGAAGGGCATCAGGCAAGGCTTTCGGATTTTGCTGGACCGTGCCAAACGCGTTTGCACGTCAGTTTTGGTCGCGGGAATTCGTATTTTTCTCATAATTTTTTCATTACTTTTCGGTAATTTATGGGGTTATGGGGGCGTTAAGGATCGAAATGAAGCGAGGCACCGCCGCTCATTTCCGTCCTCGCTTCCTTCCTCTTTCCCATTAATCATCCAGACTCCCCCCCCATGCCCCTCGATTCCCCCAGACATCTTAATGCCCCCCTGGGGGGGGGGGGGGGGGGGGGGGGGGGGGGGGGAGGGGGCGGCTCTTGCGATTCATGTTCGTCCGGCTTTAAATCGTTACGCCCACCCGAATACCACTCGTTTCTTCAAGCTTTTTTTTAACATTGAAGTTTTTTTATCTTGCAATCTATGGCTCAACATGCAGAACACAGAAACAAAGACAGAGGTACAAAGGACAATATATTGGAATTTTACAATTCGAAAATAGTTGAAAGAAATAGAGGATTAGAATTTTGCAATAATCAAAACATATCGTGAGCAACATTACATGATCATCGGCATCCATTCATCCCAAAATGATTTCATGTTTGAAACGAAAATATTGGTCCCCTTATAAACGTTTTGCGGACGTTTGCGGCCTTCTCGCCCGCAGCTGCGAGGAATTTTGTCGCGATCCGCTGCTCTCTCGCGGGGTCCGAGGTCGTCTTTGTTTGCTTCCGCTCGGGCAAGGTTTGCCCATCTGCAAAATTTATGAAATGTCGTGCAGGCTTGCCATAATCCTAAAATAGCGAGATGCGGAATTCGTGTGCAAGCGTTCTAAGTATGAAAAATAAACTCCACGAAATTGTCTACCCCCCTCGTATATACGTCGACGAGGAAACCAGTTTCGTCATCGAAAAACAAACTTTTTTTTTTCTAAGGAAGCGAACTCGTCGATTCTTTCTCGTCCAAAAGGGAATGCGGAAAACGCGGAGACTTGGGAACCCCTCGGAGTTCTCAAATTCGCCATCGAAATCTGAAAGTCGTCGTTGGGGCAAGTCTCCCTCGACTCGCGTCGTCGAACTCGTCGAAGTTTCGGATATCGCGGGATGAAATAAAGAGCTTGAGTGAATTTTACATTTCCCTGCAGGAGAAATAGCAGCCTTTTTAATGCTCGTCGCATTCTCCTCGGAGAGGAAACCACTCGGCCCCCCCCCATCCCCCCCCCCCCCCCCCCCCCCTTATCTCCCCAGACCCGCGACCCGAGCGAATCCACGCAACAGCGACGGCAGCGAATCCGAATCGGCCTGGCCCCGAAAACGTGGAAAGGACTGACCCACTCACCCGTTCGGCTTCGCCGCGCAGCCATCCCGAAATCACATCATCGACCATGCAGCGATGACGAAGCAGTTTCCTCAACGGATGAATCGCACGAAATTTGCATCTTCTTCGAGTCAGGCGAGAAGCAGTCGGCATCGAGCGGAAGACGACGAGAACACGTTTAGAACACGCCTGGGCTCGTTTCGCTGTTGCACGTGGGACTGTGTGCGACATCTGCACGGACTTCTTTCACAACGGTTATGCGTAAATTCACCGCCAGATGTCACTTGAGCTAGCATGGCGCCCCACGGCAGTCATGAATTGCGGCCTCATTTCTGCAGATCCAATATTCCCACTGACATCGACTTTTCCTGTCCACAGGGCATGAAGCGTGAATGAGGCCGTACGCGTTTTGGGTTGGAACAGGTGGAGATTCAGCTTTTCAGGCTGATTCGCCCGTTGGTCCACACGTAATCTCCAAAACACGAGCCATATGGATCCTTATCCAGAGGATTTGGCACATCCTGCAGCGCGATAAAATTCATAGGGTATGTTTGGTGAAGCTGCGTGCACAGTTTAGAATAGTCTAGTAGAGGAAGCAGTGCAAGAATAAAATACTTCTCTCCAATGTTTCTGCAGAGGAGTGAGTTCTTAACTCCGGGAAGAGAATCTAGATCCACCATTGGAAGAAATTATATTCGCTTAGGACTGCTCTTGCATGAATAAGATGCAAGGATGGCTTTTGTGTGACCTTCCTAGCCCTATTTGAATTCTTCATGAGGCATTCTTAACTTCCATTAGTGTCCTTTGAAAATTTCCACAAAATGTTCAGAACAATGAGCCCAAAGTAAGAAACCCATTTATAGTGATTTTTTTTTCCATTTTAAAAACAGGCTGCAAGTATTTGCAGCATTCCAGTGAGAATTTTATGCCCATTTCATATGAATTCCAGACTTTAGGAACATCACAAGGTGGGTGTAATAATACCTATGTGACAGTGGTGCCCAACCCGTAGCCCATGGGCAAGAAGTGACTCTTGAGGTCCTAACCCACAATGCCCTCAGGTTTCCTTAAAATAGTCTCCTACAATACTAGTGACTTAATATGGCCTGTGATGGCTGTGTTAGTGAGCTATGTAGCCCCCTTGCCGAAAAGGTTGGGCACCACTGTTATATACTATGACCTTTGCTTCACTTGCATTTTTTCTTAAAGTTTTGCTTTAGAAGGTCAAAAATAATTTTTGTTTTAGCCATAAAAGTGTTGAAGTGATCTCTCAAAAGTAGGCCTTCATTGATGTAATTACAAGATATTGGGTATGATTCACTATTTCAAAGTGTGTTTTGTCTAGATGGTTTGGTTTGATAACAACAGCCTGTGCCAGTTGAAGCTTAGGATCCTTCTCCTACTTCATTGAATCTTGATAGCTGATTCCAGGACAGTTCCTCCAACTTATTCAGGTCTAACTTCAAGTGGGCTTGGTCTTCCTTGTTGCAACTTTACCGAATCATCAGCAAATAATCTGTTACCAGATATCATGCCCTCTGTGGGGGCAGTAATAGAACATGTGTAGTACTGTTACACTTATAATGACACTTTGCATGTGGTTTACTGTAGAAAGCCTCATAAATTTTGAATGACTTCTGTATCCTGTGGTACAGTACGACTTTTCATTCATGGGGATTAAGTTAATCTCATGCACTAATTATTCTTCAGTACCATTGCAGTTATTGAAATAAGCAAGGAATATATTGATACAAGAACTTGATGAATATATGAATCAAGCTTTCAGAGTTTTAAAAATAACATGGGCCTAATTGAACTACGTCTCCATCTTGAATGGGTCAGAACATTTTCATACTTTTCCCACTTTCTGTCCAGACTTCCACTGTATCTGACTAGCTCTAGGCCTGCTTGAGGCTTGCCTCTTGCTCCTGATGGGTGGCATGATAACAGTTATCACCTTTGGAGTGGGATGTATACTTTTCCTATTAGGCCTAGCTTGCATGAGTGAAGCTAATAGGCCCAAATTGTGAGATATAAAGGATGAGTCTTGTTTTTCAGCTTTGATGCAGGTCAGCTGTTGGTTTTGTCTTCAAAGACTGAGCTGTGATTGCTGTTCAGGTTTGGTCTTCATAGGTATCTGAGATCCCCAAAAATGCCTTCAGGCAATGGTCTGTTAGATCTGAAGATTGCTGTGATATGTGCCAGCAACATGAACAGGAGCATGGAAGCTCATTCATTTCTCAGGTGGGAACATATAAAATGAAGCAGCATCATCATGCTTTCTGTTTCACATTGTCAACTTGTAATTTTGAAAATGCTGTCACTCTTGTTTCAGCAAACGAGGTTTCAATGTGATGTCTTTTGGAACAAATGACAAAGTGAAGCTTCCAGGGCAGAGCATTGACAAACCTAACTGTTACGAATTTGGTGTCACCTATGATGAGATCTACAAGGATCTTGTGGCCAAAGATCATAACTTGTATCCTTTTCTGACTATTTTTTCAGTTTAAAATGTGGGTTGTTGTATGCAGTAAAGATTATGGTCCTGTTGAATCTGAGTTATCACCTTTTCTTTCTTTCTTCTTTTATTTTAAAAGTGATTACTCCTAGGGAATGCATCTATAATTTTATTTGGTTACCTTCTCCTCTCTTCCATGAATTATTTTCTCCTCTCTTCCCCCTGTCATGCAGGGGACATGCAGGGAGGGGAGGTAATGCATCAGTAATATTTCTGCAGCAAATCCTCTTTTCTTGGTTCGAGTATTCAAATATTAATGATCATTTGAAGCTTATATGTTCCTGATGTACTGTAGAGACTTCTAATAAATTCTATCTCATTGCCAATTCTCCTGTAATCATCTTGTGCCAAAATTACCCATACTGGAGAAGGCACAACTCTAATTTGGAAGCTAGAGTAAATACTCCTTATCCCACCATGGAATAGATACACTCAAAATGGAATCCTTCACATGCTGGAGAGGAACAGGAGAATTAAGGCAGGCCCTGAGAAATTTCAACACTGTAAAGAGAAATTTGATGTCGTTATCACAGTAGAGGAACGAGTGTATGACCTTGTCATTGAGAGTGAGTTTTTGGAAGAAAATATGAATTAGGGGCTAAAGAAAAATTGGCCTATTGCAGTTTTAAACAATTTCCTTGAAATTATGCCCAAATGATAAAATTGTGTGAGACTCTTCATTATAGCTTTGGAAAGTCGAGAGAAGGAAGGGAGCAGTCCGGTGCATGTCATCAATATTGAGATCCAGGACAACCATGAGGAGGCGACACTTGGGGCGTTCTTGATCTGTGAACTCGTCACTTTGGTATCCCCCTCCCCCAAGAAATAAAATTTTCCTTTTGGTCATGGAGACCCTAGGAGGTTTTTGCTCATAATTATATGTTTCTCCTTCATTTTTACACTTTTACAGATGGCATCGAGTGAAGACTTGGACAATGACATAGATGAGTTGCTGCAAGAGTTTGAGCACAAGTGCAAGCGGTCAATTCTACACTGTGTCCAGTTCTACTGAGCCTCCAGGGAGGGGGGACGTCTTCCTCATCGTCTGGGATGTTTTTTTTTGGTATCCACAAAATGCATCCCTCATCGGTCATCTGTGTCCCTTCCTTCTTGCAAAGTTGTCACCCTGTCTCATATATCTTCCATACAGAACTGAGCTTCTTGATACTATTAAACAGCTCAGGAGACACATGACTGTTCTCTTCCTATTGTAATGTATTGTTATTTGGAAAGAAGGCTATCTTCATTGCTGCATTGTTAGTGATTGTCCTTGAGTATGTTTCTATGGCAATTCTTAAACTTTTAAGCACTGACATCATCAATGAAATATCTTCCCTATCAGAAGTCTCATAAAACTAAATATTTTTCATGTAGATAGAGCATCTGAATGATGTCAGGATCTAAAAGTTTCAGAATGCCTGGAGTGTAATGTATATGGATATTTTTTTCATTGGTGATGAACCTCTGTGAACTGAACTCAGCTGTTGGGTGATTATCCTGGTTTGCTAGGATTCAAGAAAGAAAAAAGTTATGATTTGCAAAAATGTTCTGCTGTGCTGATTTTTTTTTTTCCTTTGCTTGTTTGTTTGTTTGGGTCTGGTTTTTTGATGTCATATGCTGGTTGCAGGTCAGCCATGGTATCCTGAGTGCAGTCAGGTGAGAGTTTCTTTCCAACAAATTTGTTGCTCCTAGGTCATCAACATCATCTCTGCTAATGAAAAAGACAGACTGTATTGCATCCAGAGTAGTATCAGGATGACAATAGGACTATGGCATTTGACAAAAGTTATGTACTTGTGAATCATCACTCTGAAAATTGTGAACCATCCTAGATGGAAAAAAACTTGGCTTCTCAATTTTTTTGTCTATAGTATGGGCTATGGTATAGTATTCTCAATCCATTAATTGCATATTCATTTTTGGAGTACTGTTGGACTACAGTAGAACCCCCAAGTCCAGCAATTCAGCATGATTGTAATTTGATGTGAATATTTTCTAACTTTTTTACCAAGGGGTTTAACTGTTCCAGGTTTGCTATGAATCATAGGAATGAAAAACTCAAGTGGAATTTCCAGTTCATCTTGAAAACTACTAAAATACTAGGTGGTGCATGAAGAACACATCAGTGTTCTTGTGTTCATTTCTCAACTTCCAGATGAGGCAGAGGTGCACTAGTAATACCATGAATACTTCTATCTTTCCTCTCTGCTTCATGAAAACTAGACGTTTCTAGCTATGAGAGTACAGTGGTGGTTCAACTAAGACAACAAAAAATTTTATTATTCCACCTCATCTTCAACAGACAGGTGGGAGCTTCATTGGTATTGCATACATCATGTAATCTTGCTTTCTAAGTGATGGGGACTTGTGGATCTCCTTCACAATGGTCTCACACCGGGCCTGTTGAATGCTGGCTCTCCATTTGACAACAGAGTGATTCATCTTGCTTCACTCAACTTACCAACTAGACTTTTAGTGCCAAGAATGATGTCATCTTGACGTATGCTCAAATAAAGTAACCCCTCCTTTTGAATTCTGCATAATGTGAAAATTTTCAAGTTGTTTTAGTTGAACAACTGCTGTGGGTGTGGTCTGGTAGCAAGAAATGCATGTTTTAATGGGGTTGAGAGGAAAGGTAGATACACACATGAAATGATTTTCACATCTCTGCTTCATACTGAAGCTGAGAAATGAATGCACATGTCTTTGTTTTTCATGTGCCATCCTGTATTGTCATTTGAGAGGAAAAATCAAATTCTTGTCAGACATCTGCATTACAGAAAAAGAACTGCCAGGAGACACCCAATCCTTATAGTGGTACTTAAGGACTTGGAGCACAAGTAGGGTTCATTGTTAAGTATGCAGCAACTCTGAATATATATATTCACCTTGTTGCCTTCAGTCCATGTTGCATTTGAGTAACTACTGAAGCATCAATGCTGCAGTAAAAAGAGAGAAGAGGTGAGTAAAGTTACTCTTGCAAATGAATGGGTTTATATAAAAAAAAAGCATGATAAAGTTTAGTGTTGAGCCTTGTCTTTGATTCAGTTCTATATAAGGTCTTTACTTTCTTAACTAGTAATAGGAGAGTTGGTTTGTTTTGTTTTGTTTGTTTTTTTTTTTTTTTTTTTTGAGAATTAGCTGCTTTAAAAGTGCTCTAAGGCCAGTTGTTCAATGAAATGTTGCATGGAATTAGCCCAGAACTGGGGGTGAATACTTCATTGCTTGAAAGCAATCAATGGTGGAGCTGTTTTAGGTAAAAAAAAAAAATATGCTTGTGTAGGAGTAAAAAACTGCACAAGTGGACTCTATATTCACCTGATTCAGGAGAGCCTCCCAATCAGAAATTGGTCTAGCAGTATAGGAGATGCCTTTGAAGAACCACTTAAATAACATCCTCTCCCCTTCAAGACTTGGCAGAAAGACTGAATACCCTTGTTTTCATGGGGTGTATGTACAACAGGATAGAAAACATTAGAAATTAATTGAAGGGCTGTAAGGATAGGTGGTCTATCTGGAAAAAACATCAGAGCTAAGTATACTTGATTTCATGAACATAAACCCTTTTTCCTTTCATTTTAGTTCTTGGGATTTATGTAAGGGAGTAACTAATCTTCAATGCTTGCCATTATGCCTCCATCTTACAAAGGTGGTCACTGGAATATTCACTCTTCCCATGTGGAGCTCAAGAAAATAGTTTTTGCAGATTCACCACTTTTCCTATCAGCCCTTCAATTTATCTCAGCTGAGAAAAATTTTAATGCATCAAAAACTCAATAATGATATGGTATTCAGGCATCTAAATGTACAGAAGTAAACTTAAAACTAGTGATTCACTAGCTGTTGGTGTTATATTAGTATTTTTTCCCCTACGTTTGAGACATTCGAAAGGTGCTCAGGTGCTTGGTCTGCACTTTGAGCTTCAAATGACATTTTTCTCTGCAAGTGCAGCATGAGTACAGCTGCTAGAGCACAGATGACTCGTGTTTCTTTGTAGCATTACTTTAAAATAATGTATACCTCATCAAACTTAAAATACCTTTAAATGAGTTCTCCAGGGCAAAAGTGAGGAAAAAGACCTGATATATCAACACATATTCAATTCAAGGAAAGGACGAGCAAACATCAACAAAAAAAACAATGAAAAGTACTGTAGATGGAATAGGTCCACAAACCAAAACATTTCCAGAAAATAGGATTCATATGAATACTGGGAGGAGTAAAGAAGTGACAACTAACAGAATGATGTCACCCTGAACTGGGAAGTTTACTGAAAAAAAAAGACAATATCAGAGGCAGAAAAGTCACAAATACCACAAAAATATGTAAAAAATTATATTTAAAAAGATATCCTTTTTTGCCACATAGCCACTGAGCAACCTAATCCTGGTTTTCCCAAGAGTTCCAGTGGGACCTGCTTTATCCACCCCTACATAGAGGAAAACTGCACCACCGTCATCTACTTCTAATATGGGAAGCATACATTGTTGAAGATTGGGGTGAATATGCATTTCTTAAGTTTTTCCAAAGGCCAAGAATTTATTTGAGACTTCAAACTAAGAACTGAGGAATATTTGACATTACACTTAGAAGCTGAGAGTTTCAGGTCTCCAGTGGAAAAGTTGGATTTAATTATTTTCAAGTTTGAAAGAAAAAAACCAGTAAATGATTTTTTAAATAGAAAATGTTAAAAATTTGCCTTTTATGCATTTGTTGATATTCTTAAAAGTGGTTCATTGTATTCTTATGAAGCCCACACTTGCAAAAAACATAGGCCATGTGAGAATTACCTATGAGGAACCAGCATGAGTGAACTGCAATAATGCCATTATATTCACCTCCATACCCTTCCTATCAAAAAGGTGAAAGGGGACAACCCCATCTACAAAATGAACAGAAACCTCCTATATTTATTAAATTCCATAGATCCTCAGGCCTTTCCTTCCCTACATCTTCTTGCAATCTGTGAAGCTCTACCTCTGTCTATAGACCCTCCTCTAGTTCTAGTTATATTTCTAATTTTTCTTTATATTTACTCCTCACTTATTCTCATTTCATTTCATTTTTTTAAATGCTTTTCTTTGTATTTGCTTCAAATGGATCTCCATTCCTTGAAGGGGTGAATCAAAAAGGTTCCCAGCAATGGATATTTCTTGGGAAAAAAAAATTCATATGCTCCTTCAGTGATTTTGCAACAGTAACAACAAAGGTGGCAAGTCACCTGAAACCATGAATACCACTGCCATTCAATAACACGGCTACTAAAGGATCTCTCTCAGGACCTTAAAGGTTTCCAGTTACTCCAATTCATTTCACAGAAAGATCTCATTTTCTGACATCAAGCTTCAAGAGAGGACAGAATAGACTCTCTCCAATCACAGTTGGGAGGACAAGAAGAAGACCTGCCACTAAAAACATTAGTCATCCAGGTGGGCATAAACACGTCGAAGCTTCTCTTTCTTCTTCTTATTGTGATGCTTCTTCCATGGCTTTGTGGTTCCTCCATCACTGATGGTAGTACTGGAAGGGTAATACAAATTTGATGTTAGAATCAGGAAAAATATGGAATTCAAATAAAAGAAAGGAATTGAGCTCACACTGAGGAATGCTTAGAGAGACCCCCAGATTGAGAATGCCCAACCACACCAACATTCCCCTTTGTGTGAGCTTTTGTATTCAGCTTGGAAAAAAATTCTTGATCCAAGTCTAACACTGTTGGACCCTCAGACTGAAATACACAAAAAGGAAAGTCTTCATTCATGAATGGGATAATGTGTTCAGGGTGTGGAACATTTGTCCACTCTATGAAAACAAATTCTGCAGAATATGAAATGCTCTTGTTAGATACTTGATGACACAACAGAATCCATGCATAGGTATAACTTTTATAGTCCCATTGTTTTGAGTTGCTTTAAGTTGTGATACAGTTTAGGGTTCAGAGAACAAGACAGACAGACAGCTTTGGAATAATTGTGATTCGGCCACCATATCATTCACTTTTTCCATGCCAGATGAGCATTTAAATCATAGTAATATCCAATTATAAAAGTCTCTTTGAAGGAGAATGAGAACAGTAAAAACGAAACGGTGATATGATGAACCAGCCTCAACAACCTCCCCCCCCCCCCATCAGCTTATGCCCCTTCAGTCAGTCCTGTTTAGTTATGTTTAGTCCAGCTCAGTTATGTTTCTTACCATCCCAATGTCCCAGTATATTTTCATTATTTGTAGGGGCCTGTCTCTTCAAGAATTATGAGAACATTTGACTCTTGCTCCAACTTACTTTAATCACTGGTAACACCAGTACAAGGAAATCAAAGTATGAAGTAATTTTCCAGATGAAATTTGTTTGCAGGAAACAACAGAAAATCTCACATACTCGGTGGATACGTTGCTGCTGTCTCCCCATGGGAAGATGATAGTCCTTCCTCTTTGGAGGAGGAAATGTATGATATACCACTTGGTCTACACCTGAAGGAGCCCAGTTATAAAGGAGTCGGCCATTGACCACATCCTTCAAGATGTATCTTGCTGAGCGTGGATGATCTGGTAGGCCTCGAGGCGTCATGAACCCCCGCATATCTGATGAGAGCCATCTATAAACTTGAGACTCCATGAACCACATGGCAACAGTCTCATAAGAGATTCACAAGCTCACATCCATATGCATTGAGGAGTTCTTCGACTGTTGGTGGTCGCCCAGGGTCCTCTCCTTCCTTTGCTTGAGGGAGGACAATGCCATACATGTCCTCCAGAACATGCCGTGGGAATAAGGAACAGACAAGGGCGATGGGGGGAACATGGTCCCTCATCTGGTCAATGGGAAGAATCCCCGAGATAATCATCTCTGCCTTGGTTGACACAAATTTTGGCATCACCAGGCCAGGGCAGTCACACAAGCACAAGGTATCAGATAGGAAAATAGTCTGTGAAAGACAAGAAAGAGAAGACAAGGTCAAGAAATATAATGTCATATACAACATGCCAACACCTCACATTAAAAAATTATGAGAGAAGCCTTATAAGACCTGGAAATGCTTTGTTTTCCCTGGGGTAGTGGAGACAGAGACTTTCTTGGACTGAAGAAGGCTGTTTATGGTAGAACTCTTACCAACATTGGGATACCCAACCATCCCAATCGTGGTGAGTCCTGGCTTGAATTTCGACCCAGTGTGAACTGCCCTGAAGACCTCCATCAACTCTTCACGCGTGAGGCACTTTGCCTCTCCTTCCTCACCCAAACTTGGCACTGTAGAACTCTCTTGTTTTTCTGGGCATTCCTTGGGCTCAGCAGGATCTTCAATTTGCTCAGTCACACATTCCTCCTGCTCAGTGGTACCTTTCACTGGTTCAGGAACAAACTCCTTTTGCTCAGCACACACTTCCACTTCATCCTCACTCTCTCCTGATTCTTCATTTGTAACAGGTGGAACTTTCCAGTACATCTCAGGATCATCTTCTTCAGCATCTTTTGTGGAGGACTTCTTTGCATCATGCTCCATCTGCTGGATATTATCCATCTGCTCTGTGGCCGAGTAGAAGACAGCCTTAATTCCTCTCTCAGCAAAGTATTTCGCCCAGGTTCTCCTTTGCTGTAGGCTGAGGAGATCTGCTTTATTTAGGAGAACCATGTTCTCCTTTTCTGGGCTGACTTCTTTCACAACAGCCTCCAGGTCCTCACAGTGGAACAGGAGAGGATTCCTTGCATCCAAGATCTGCACCACCACATCACTGCAAGAAAAGGATACAATTGATCAACAGGGTTCACGTTAACTCGCTATAGCGAGTCCCTGACTCATTTGCAAAACATCTAAGTCCATGGGACTCATTGACAACCACCTGAACATGTTCCCACTGAGCTGAAGCTAGGTACCAGGACTCAAGATTTAAAAAAGCTAGTGTGAACCGAGGATCAGGTTCATTAAGTCGAGTTCAAATACAAGTGTTCATTAGGTGGCACCTAATGTGGAACTTTTCCAAGTTAGACAAGACACCCAAAAATGTTCTATTTAGCATTAGATCAATAATCAACCACTTGGAATGATTTCACTTCCATTTCATTTCATTGTCAGTTTTTCCATGAAAATTATAGCTTCAAAAATATTTTAAATTGGGTGACACCAAACAGTTCAGTTTCAATGGAAGTGCAACAATGTAATTTAAAAGAAGGCACAACATTCTTATCAGGAAAGATGAATGAAAGGAGGCTGGAAAATGTTTGATGGCTCGATAGATGCAAGCAGAACTTAATTATTATTGTAACTTGTATTGATAAGCAGGGAGTCCATCAGTTGGCATAGTTAGGTTCCTCAACAAAAATATCTTGAATTTTTTAGATATTTTTATATTTTTTGTTGTAGATAATAGTAGTAGATTTTGGCATGTGATAGGCAAGAAATCCAGTAAACTCAAAAAGGGTAATTTGCACAAAACTTTTAATTTTAAATTTAAATTTCCTAAAAATTTTGATAATGTATTTTTATGGGCATGCTCCTCAAAGGGTTAAATATGAAAAGCACAATTCAAAATGTGAACTTGGAAAAACAAGTGTTTGCTCACTTTTGATCTTTCTGTATAGAAAATGAAATCTAGTTTTAATATATGAATGCAAGAGACCAAAATATGGTACCTAGCAACAGCCCTTCCTATGATCCAAATTCCTAAAGTCGAAATGTCATATACCACAAGCCACATAGACATGGGATCTACTTTGACTCCAAAGAGGAAGCTGATTGATGAGCAAGACCTCATTCTTATCTGCGTTGTATGCAGCATCATTCTGTGCTTACTTGTTCAAAAAGCATGCCATGACTGGGAGGAAAGATCCATTCAGAAACGCATTGCAAAACTGCAACAACAAGTTCAGCAGGTCAGGTATCCATTCTTTTTTTTTTTTACCATAGAACTTCCTATCTGATCTCAAAAATTAGGTTTTGACTTGGGAAGAATACATTCAGCCCCCAAGATGATTTCTCTGAAGCAAGTACCAGCTGTTCTCAAAACATTGATAGTCTATGTTGGGAAATTTGTTGAATCCCAATCCTAAAACAATCAGATTGAACCTTTTCTTTCCATGCAAGAACAGGAGAGGGGGGGGGGGGGGGGAAATAAAAATGTGATCATACATTCATTGAGAGGCTTTGAATATTACCCTTTCCTCTTAGCAATGACTGAGTTAAATACAAAGAAAGTTTTACACTGGCCTGCACATGGTTATTTCTGTTTGTATCTGTAACACTTTTACTGTCTATCTCCTGGTTCCTGTCAAGTGTCAAAGGCCTGTCTTCCTCTAAAAGGGAAACAAATACATACCAAGTAAAATTGGAAGTGGTAAAAGATTAGAACTTTCTCTTCATCTGGAGCGAAGGCCAAGCATGCAATAAAAACCTTTTCTTCATTTTGAAAACATCACTCAAAGGGCACTGAAAGGGGGCAAACTCCTGTTATCTCCAGATATAATGCCAAAAATTGAAGGATCATGAAAAGGAACTAATTTGTTCAGAACATTAAGAAACTTCATCTTCAAGACTCTGTAGATCCAAGAAAGGGAATAACTTTGACGGGAGGTAATGTGTGCCTACATAAGGAGGTATCTGACTTCCAATGAATTTTAGCTCTTATATAATTCAGAATCAATGCATTTTAGAATGATTTCAATTTCTATTATAATGCAAATAAGGAATACATTCCTGAATTTTCATTTCAAACAAACTAGGAATATATTTTCCTCCATAAACATGGAACAAGCGCATGGTTGACAGTTCAGAGTGGCTGCTATTCCAGAGCAAAAAGGAAAGACGTGACAAAGTCCTTCAAGAACTAGCAACAATGATACATGATTCTCAACTGAGTTTGGTCTCACCAATGGATGCCAGCCTGTGCATACGAGACAATGACAAACAACAGGAACTGCATGAAGATGAATACCAAGAGAGGAATGAACCTCTTATGTTCATAGATGAAGATAACTGAGCTCTGATTCGTCAAATCTTCTTCTGAGAGAAGCACTTATTGAAGCTGAAATTACCAAAGGAAGGAAGAAGAACCACTTGAGGCTCTATTCCCTTTCTCTCCCTTCAAGATAGAAGGTACATTGAATACAGGGCCAATCTTCATACAAAGCCAGCACTCTAGCAGAAAAGAATGCCTCCCACCTCATCTGGAGAGAGGATTTCACATTGTTGGTCAACACTGTGCAATGTGGAAAGGTACTGATCTAAGCAATCCAGTGCAGTTTCAAAAATGAATGCCATTTTGATAATGACATTTTGTCCTTTACACATGTGAGAAAAGCAATTTTATGCTAATAAGGTAAGAATTAGATGTAAGGATGAAAGTTATAGATATATTTAAAAAATGCAAATAATTGAGAGATGGGTAGAGAGAATAAGGGTATTGAAGGCAACAAGCCTGATTCCACAAAATCCAATCATAAGATTATTACAGTTTTACTCAGAATGATCCCTCACATTCAAATCCTACATGAAAAAGGAAAAATCATTTGGACAAAGAAGACAACCAGGTGACCAAGAAGTCATATAGTTCTGTTGGACTGGTTGTTCTTGTGGTCATAAAACAGCCATCCTGATCTCTGTCAGAGTCCACAGCTTATAGATACATTTCAAGATGAAGGGCTAAAATTGATGGAGGTGAAAAAGACAGGCAGTTAGATTACCATGTACAGCAAGGGATTCAGAAAAAGTGAAAAATTAACAGGGAAGACAAAGAAGCATTTCGTAAAAGCATACCACAGAAGGAACCAGGCTACAGCTGAACAAAGTCATGCCAAATAATCCCTTGGAATCACAGCAAGATCAAAAGAGAGGATCCCAAAGAACTGGCATGGAATTTGTTAAGGATCAAAGGAAAATATGAAAAGTCTGACACCAACCAATTGGATCACGACACTTTGACCTCTTTGTACGTCATGATCAAGGGGGTGATATAAGTCCTTTGCATTTCACTCAGGGTTGATGTCATAGCACACCTACCCAGTATTAAAAATAAAAATAAAACTATTTTCCAAACTTGACATTTCCACCAACACCATTTCATGAGACTGCAATCATAATCACCCATTATTCAAAGCCACTTATGCATCTCCAACAGGAAGCATTGGGAAAGAAAAAGAAGAGAGAATACCAATCATGCTGTGAGTACCTGATTTCCTCTTCTTCAAAACTGAAATTCTTTTTTTTTTATTTCATGCATAAAATAAATCATTTTCTTCATTTGTTTAAAGTAGCAGAATTTAATCAGTTAAAAAACATATTGATTTGCCATCATAAGCAATGTTTAAAAATCACATGCTCCTATGGGTGTTAGGACCAACCTCTAACAAACTTACCAGAAAAAACAAGCTCATCATGCCAGTTAAAGTAGCTGCATTAACTTTCAGAACCCAAGAACATAAGTATTGTCTAACCGTGAGGAAGAGACACTTCTCTCTTTGGATTAATTTAGGCATAACTTACTCTACACTTCAGCTGATAGCATGAAGTTACACTAATTGAAAACAGCTCATGACGTGAATATATAAAAACAATTGTGTTAACATGCCAAATTAGGCATGCAAGACTGTATAAAACTAACCAGAAAAAGGAAGTTCTTTGTGCCATTAATCCATTGGCAGTGACATTCAGTTGCTCAGGTATCTTATTTCATCAGTTAATTTGACTGATTGTCATATAAATTAATTTCCATAATTATGTAATATATAGAAATTGTTTGTCTGTATATTTAGTAGGCCATGGAACATATAACTAATAACATTCTAGGAGCCACCATCTAAGAATGTCCTGTCACTCAGAGTATGAGACTGTCTTGTAAGTCAATTTCAATAGGTTAAAAGGGACTACACATAAGCTTAAAGAACTAGTTCATATGATAATGCATCCAGATACCAAACAAGATGTATAATTCAGAAACGAAAAAACGACATTTTCTGGTCATGTTGAATCCTTTCAAGATCAGAATGGTAGGCCAACATAAAAATCGGAACACAAAATATGTCTCACCTCCTCTCAACAACTCGCCACAGTTGCCGCCAGAATTCCAGGTTCTTCTCAAAGGGGGTGATGATCAGACCCTCAATCTCTTGAATCTCTGCTAATTGCCTCCTCCATGACAGGAATGATTCTCTTTCAGCAGCATCAAGTTCTTCTGGTGTTGTAGTTACATTCCACTTTGGTCTGCAAAATTCCCAGCAATGCAGATGATATTTGCCTCACAAATGCATGCATAAAAGCTTAATATTACGCATGTGAACACAAGGATACACAGTGATTTCCTATCACTAGTTTATATACAGTTCTAGTTAACTGTCCACTTGAGACAACCAGTAATTAAACTGACCATTTCACATTTCATTTTTCACAACATGAAGTTTTATAGTGACAGCATGAATGCTATTGTAAATCAGTGGAGAAAGTGTGCAGAAAGTCATTGAGATTATGTGGAAAAATAGCTGTTAGCAAAGTAGGGTGTTGTTTTCCCTGCAAATATTCACAAATTTTCAAGAAAAAGTTATGGAGAGAAAACTAATGTGCATTACTTTCATACTGCCTCTCATAATTTATGTCCAAATGACAGAAAATAAACCAAGATTGAGCTGACTCATTCCAAATTCAGTTAACTGAAACAGAAGCAGTGACTGAACTGAAATTTATATAGAAGCAAACAGTGCTCTCTGGCCACCCATTAGCAAAGTATGGGAATAAAGTAAAATAAGTAGACAAGGGATCGATTTCAGCCTGTTCCAGATTTTTAGGGAAATCTGAATTGAAGATATACCTAAATTTTCAAACTTCAGTTTAGTTTTAATTCATCTCCAATTAATGAGGACTCAATTAACTGGTCTGAAATATGCATCAAGCACCTATTGCATAGTTCGGACCAAACAGAATAAAATATATTAGGCTGTTGGTTCAAAAAATAAAAAAACAAAACAAATGTAACATTTAAAAAATTATTGAAAACCTGAGAGTATTGGCTTTCCTTGACCAATTCATCTTCTATCACACATGGTTCCATATGGATATGACACAAACTGAATTAAAAGCAAATAAAAACTTATCAGAAAGAAAATGCTGTCGTTCATTCCTTCCCACATCCTAATTTTAAACAAGAATAAATCAATCTAGCATGAATTAATATAAATGCCTGAAGAGCCAAAGATTTTACTTCATACCTTCGAGGAATGCTGAGAAACTTCCTGTTGTCATCATGAAGTTTTTTTACTTGCAACTTCTCTTCATCTGACATAATCCTGACCTGAGTGCTGATGTCAACAAACTGAATATTTTGTTTCTCAGCAGTGAATTCGGTTCCTGCAAGCTCAGCAGTGGACAAGAAATCATCCAACTGATTGTTTTCAGTGACAGATTTCAGCTTCAACCGGTTCCAATCATAGCCATCCTGGAGGTCAGCAGTGTGGAGCTAAAAACGACAAAATGTCACATTAGCACTTAGTTTTTTTTTCACACTTGAATAGGAATTATTTTATTGTCTCTACTCTAAATATCAATTAATATGAGTTGCATGAGAAGAGGAGTAAGGAAATGCAAACCCTTTCCCATCCCAATTAATAAATGCTTGGTAGCATGGTTCATCAAGTTTTCGCTAACTTGTAATGGTCCTTGCTTTTGTTCAAGTTTAAAGAAACCAAATAATACAATAATGATAGTGCAATTAAACAGCCAATAAAAAATTATGCAGGCATGAATGATGAAAAAATTCTACAACCATATTGGGGTACACATTTTACACATCAGCAGCAAAATATCTTACCATGGATGCAACAGGGTCAGAGTAGAGAGAGTGTCAGGACCCCACTTTAGCTACATTGGGAAAGTAGGGTCCCCTTACTATCACATGTGTTTACTTTTGTACCATCCCTAATATTAGTGTAAGTTAGTCATTCACAAATCTTAGAGATACCAGGTAAAAAAAAAATAGAGCACTCATTGGTCAGAAGTGCTATAAAAGAGGGTATGAACCCTTACAAAATGAATCATTGACCAATACTTTTTTTTAGTCTTTTTTTTATTGTTTGTGTTGTAACTTATGTGAGGTGTTTTACAACTGGAATCCATGGAAATAAAAAACAAGGCAATTCAATTCAATTCTTACAGTCTGCTATCCTCCTGCCTCTGACATTTAAATATTTAGGAAAGTCAAACAGATCCTTGTATACCAGGTCATATCCATTGGAATCTCTGAATTTTCTTTAATTCCTCTTAAAATTATATGCTTCATCAGATTTCTAGTTTTCCATAAAAGGGCCGTTACATCTTAAGACACTGTCATATCAGCCTAAATGTACTTGCAGGAGTGTTCTGAGACAGGGATTCTCTTGATCTCACAAGTTTCATATCCCAGTATACTTAAATGTATAATTTATGCAACCACTGGGATCAAGGCTCTTTCCTGGTTTTGCCAATAACTCTACAAATGTTCATACTGTGTTTATTGTGTGAAAAGGGACAGAGGCTTTGGGTTTTCTTCTTGCAGGTAGAGCAAAGAGAGCTACATGACATTTCATTAACCTTCTTCCCACCATTAGGAGAATAGGGAGATGCAGAAATGATCCTTTTCCAACAGGGAAGGCAGATAGCAAGAGCCCATTTGCATGCTTTAGGGAAAACCAGTTGTTAAGACAAGAATCACGGCAAAACACCTTCAGTTGTAATGGGATGGTATTACTTGTTATCTCGGGAATTTCTGTTTGCCTGCTTGTATGAGACTTTTCAAGTACTTCCTAATCATTAGCAGATGAATCAACCTTTATTTATAGAAAAATACATCAATTAGATAATTTCATTATTTCCAAAAAAAAAGGGCAGTCTTCCCAAATCAGTTTAATATGGAAATAGCTCCAACACAATAAAAGAAAAACACCAATATAAGTGCAGATTATAGCATATACATTTTATCGCTGGTGAACTTGTTTTACCAACCTAAAATATGCCACATTCAATTGCCCTGTAAACCAGATGTTGGTGATAATGCAGCTGCAGAATGCCATACATGTATCAGAGCTCTCTGCGGGTGGCCTCATGAAGCCACGACGGGAAAGTCAATTCTTTTGTCACCTGCCACAGTTGGCCTGTTAGTGGCGTTTTTAAAATATTAGTTGACGATGGAACATGTATTAGTAATTGCTTTCTACATCAAGACTTCATGAAAAGTATAGTTCCAATGGAACGTTTGAGACTAAATTAGTATGTAGGCCTAGTAGACTTGGGCCTAACGTTAGGCTTACGTTACATTAGTTGGACAGCGATGGGACCATACTAGTAATGTCAGCAAAGTTTTCTATCTAAAATAAAGGTTCTACTGTATGGTATAGCTAAACAGTTGAAATAGGCCTCCGAAAAAGAATCACTAACCATTGATTCTCCATGCGTGCTCCTTCGAGAACCACTGAACCGATCTTTAATGATCGTTCTCCCCAGGCCTGTTTTCTTGCTTTTGGCCATAGGCATTTTCACAAACCGGTTAGGAAGAAACCAAGAAACGAATGACTCCGAGAAAGGACCGCAAGACAATAGTCGTAGACGAAGCACGTGGCACTCACAGCCTCTCGCATCGCCGCCCTGTTTGGCGCAGTGATGTCCGATGATCCGCTTCTCGCAGTGATGTCCGATAATCCGTTTCGAGCTTTCTTGCGATATTGAAAATCGCTCGGTTCCGAAAATTAGCTGGTGCAAATGTTAATATTTTAATTGCAGCTACGTGGCCTCAGAGTTCTTGATTATGTCGCAAAAAACTATTAGCTATCGAGGTGTCCTTGTTTCGCGCATCAGATTTGCAGTTCGAAATGAGGCAATGTTGCATTATGTTTGCTCGCTGCCGTCGGATGAGCGGCCGTCCCGCAAAACTCGAGTCTGTCCTTAAAAAAGCGAATTATTTTGCTCCTCCGACGGTGAAGCGATTCTTACAGCGACATACGACCCTGCAAATCTGAAAGGTCCAAGAACCATGAAAGGTTCCGACTGAATCGTCCAGAACTCCCCATTTCCGGCGAGAATAAATCCCAAGATCGACCGAACCGAATCAGCTTCACTTTCCCTCACCAAAGCAGGAAACTCGAGCGTGAACCCCTTCAAATTTCCATCTGATTATTTACCTCACAGAGACACGTACTTCCAAGGGCTTCAAATCTCATGTGTGAAGAACGAGGATCTTCCGCCCTTTTCACCTCCTAAGCCTACCTGGAAGAACTCTTTGTTCCCTTGACTTTTACGGTGATTAAAAAGGGAAAAACACAACAAAAGGAGAGGAAGGAGGAAATATACCACGTACTCCTCCAGAGGTGTTAAAAAGAGAGTTCCAGGAATCTCATCCTTTTCTACTCTAATATTTTCCCCATCTTTCTCTTCCCTTCCTAATGGCCTGTTGTAATGAAATGAAACAATGTTATTTTTTTTAAATAACCTTTGAGAAATTGGCTTTCATGTGGTATATTGTTAATCCTAATATTGCATATTGAAGGAAAGTGTTTTGATCCTTTCAATCTGATTTGATGACTTAATTACTGACCGTATCATAAGGAATGAAGGAAAAATACCTGATTTTGTCTAATACTCAGTATAAAGTAAGAATAAAGAAATCCGGTAAAAAGAAGGATGGGACAACCCCGTAACCGACTGGGGCAAAACACATAAAACCAAACCCATTAAGATAACGAGAAAGTCACACCATCGCGATGACTTTAAATAAATTAAGTCGGGACCAACACCGAAAATGTAGCCAACCGAACCAAAAAGGGGGAACCAAGCCGAATATCCAATCCGAACCTCGGATTTTTGAGGAAGGCTCCTCCCCGAGGCACCGAGGACATTACCCGGAGACTTGGACCCTGGAGTCAGTCGCTGTTCGGAAGGCACCATCGTGACCTTGCCATGTCCGGAGCTGACTCCAGGACAACCTACCAGCGTAAAGGTTAGCCCTGTCCCTTGGTTGTGTGAGGTGTGTGGCCCGATTAACATAGAGAAAGGAACAGTAATATAAATAACCTTCAGATTCCAGTAGAATTTGCCCCAGTCGGATCCTTCTCCCATCCAATATTAAGTAATAGCTTAAATTCTTTAACAAGTACCGTGAAGGATTGTGTTTTCCTTTTTTTTTGATATTTCATTATTGTCTTCATTTTAATAAAGTTAAGTAATTTACTTGGAAAGATCACGAGGGTTTCCATTTCTCCAGAATTTCTGTCTGGCGAACCTGCCTCGACCCTCGAATCTGGAACGGCGCAGGTGACTAATTCACATCGATCACTTGTTACGTCACGCACGGAAAGGTTCTATTTTGCGGTGATGAAATGATTTTGGATCGTCTTTCTTTGCCTGCTAAGTGTTCACCTTCATTCGGCTTTTTGCCGAGGATATGGAACCAATCGTTCGGGATAACTTAAATGTGAAATTTCCCCCAAAATCGAGTTCATTAAACATGTGTATTGTTTTTGGTCGATTACATCTTGTCTGCGGTTTCCTTCTTTGCACATTTATGACTCATGCATCAACTTTGAGTTATTTATTTCTGGAGAGGAAAAAAAGAAGCATAGTTGAGCGAGCGAAATTTTATATTTCTTGGCCAACTTATTCTTCGTTTCTAAAGTGCTAATTATGCATCATTTCCGCACTCGTTCCATGAAGACTACCGAAAACTCGATCATCCACCTCCACCCTCTCCTCCACCTCCTCCACCTCCACCTCCTCCACCTCCACCTCCACCTCCACCACCTCCACCCTCTCCTCCGCCTCCACCTTTGCGATCCGATGTCATCCAGCGTATTCTCGTTCGCGTATCGAAATTCCAGCGACCGTCTCCCGTGCTTCCCTGCGCTTCCCACAGATCGGTCCCCGGAGGAACCGCGGAACGCCTCTGCGTCGGCAATTCCCTCAGTGGACACATTCCCCAGTCGTTAAGCGAAGCAGGCGCATTTACTGCATGCATGGAGGCCTCTGGGACTCGTCGTCCCCGACCCATCCATCCGTGCAGAATCCCTTTATTCCGAGAACCAGGCCGAGTGCAACCGGCAAGTCGATCGGACCCATCCGTGCGATCGGACCCATCTTGGCAGGGCTCCTCCACACCCACCACCTCCTCCACATTCATTGGCTCCTCCACACCCACCACCTCCTCCACATCCATTGGCTCCTCCACACCCACCACCTCCTCCACATTCATTGGCTCCTCCACGAACCCTGCCTTTCCAGACCTCCGACGTTCCTGTTGACCTCTTTTTAGCTGGGAGATGCGTACGGCTGCAGCTTCCTTTCGAGTGCACCTAATGGGACGAAAAATCTCCCATGAGATGCGCTGTAATCCAAGTACACAGATACTATGACATTTTCGACTCGTTCTTCCATAGAGCAATATCGTATGTAATCCCTCCACCCCCTCTACTTTTAAGGAATGAAATAGTCTGGCGTGGAGCAGACCGTCGAAATTCCTATTTTTCCAGGAAAAAAAAAAAAACCGAAAAGAGAGAGAATTCCAGGGAGATCCGAGAGGAACGAGATGAGACGGCTGAGGCATCGTCGCACTTCGATTCGACGACTGACTCGAAGCAGATCTGACGGGAAATACAGGGAAATGCTTCGGAATCGATAGGTCGAAACGCTGGCGTTGGAGCAGGCTTCGATAGTATTTTATTTTAAGGGGAATCGTGGAAAAAAGTATTTTTAAAAAAGGCCTATTTTCCATCCGTGTGAAAAAATGAAAGAAAATGAGGTTCGTTTGCGCAAAAAAATCCGGTGCATAACGAATCCGTGGAGGCCATCACGAGAGGAGGGAGGGAGGGAGGGGAGGAGGGAGAGGGGGGGGGGGAACGGGGACGAAACCTGAGTGCTGGGAGGCAACAACTGATTCAAATTGGGAAATGACTGTGTAGGATCTCTTCAGACGGAGCAACATTTTTCAAATTAAAGAATCTATCAAAAAGTCCCAATCGTCTCATCCCCCCCGCCAACGAAACCCCAATAGTACAGACGAAGGAACAAGAACTCACGAATTTGGGGCCCCTCCCTCGCCCCCTGCCCACCCCCTACGAGAAATACCGACAGGGGGCACTCGGGTTCATGAAGGAGCCGGGGCGGCACTCGAAGGCGCGGGCGAAGGCGGGCGAGTTCTGCAGGGGACCCATCACCCGGTACTTGGGGGGACTGTGGAAGTACTCCGACATCCACGGACCTCCTTCTCCCTTCTCCCTCGCCTCGCACCACATCTACGCGAGAGTGAAAAACACCTCAAATCCCTCCGACTGGACTCGAGAGATCGACGAGAGGATTCCACCCACAAAGACTGGCGAAGCGTGCAAATAATAATAGCAACAGTCGTGGGGGGTAGGTGGGGGCGAGAGGAAGCGGGGCTCTAAGGATTCCCCCATCCCCCTTCTCCGATATCGTCCGGCCACGATCGCGAGTTTTTACGTTCCAGCCCTCTCCCATACATCTCGCCACCCGATCGATTCTGTGGCATATCGGCCTCCATAGCAGTCGCGACGGCTTCCTCTCCGAGTCGGATCGTCTCGAAGATGAATCCCATCCCCTCATCCCGCGAGATGCCATCCCATCGTCCCCGGACGAAACGACGCCTCATAAACCAAACCGATGAGTCGTGGGAGAACGATCCGACGGCGAGCGATTCCGCTTCGTTCTCCGCGGAATCGACCTGTCGGAATCGCACATCGTCCCTCCACACATTTCATCGCGTACACTCATTGCAAGGGAAACCGTGCCTCCTCTACCTCACGATCCGGTCCCCACAGTCCCCACAGACACCATAGTAAAAATAATAATAATCTCCTTGTAGTGAAATGACATCCTCTATCGTCGTCTCTAACATAAAATCCGGACCAGCCAAGACAAGATTTTAAAAAAAACTGAAGCATTCCCCAAAATCGACCATTCCCCTTGGCATCCCCCAGGGCATCCCCCCAGACCCTCACCTGCGCATAGGAGAGAAAGAAGACCCGCTCCGGCTCCATCCCTCCGACCGAGGGCAGAGGCACCTCCCGGTCCCTCCCGCTGAACACCTCCCACGCCATCGCCATCCCCAGCTGATCCGCCACGTTCTCGTTCAGGCTCACGTTCCCGTCCACCTTCGCGTGAGAACTCTCATGCCGACCGGCACTCCCTGCCAGCGACGAGTAACGAGTAACGAGTGACTCACGAATTCGTGGTTTCCGTCGAGGGGAAACCGCCCGTACTGGTTCACGAAGCACCTCCTCCGTCGCCTCACTTCTTCCTCCGGGCCCGCCAGCGTCATCCCTGAGAGACAATACTTTTTCAAAAAATTTTATTTCGAAAGTCGAAGCAGCGAAAGTGGCACGTTCTCCGATTCTGCTGCATTTTTACTCGGAATCTCAACGATGTTTAAATCCTGAGATCGCTTGGATTCCTCGACGACGATCGACCGAAAGACTCACCGAATCCGTCCACTCCGTGACCGATCTCGTGCCCGATCAAAAATCCCAATCGAGCGAACGTGGCATACCTACCGGGGGGGGTGAAAAAAGAAAATCAAATTTAAATTAATTTCGAAAAAAAAAAAATTCCCTTTCGACATCGGACGAAACTGCACTGACGACGGCGGCAGCGCGAAGATCGGCTCCTGCAAGATTCCGGCCGGGAAACCTGCCGAGGACGAAAAACCCGCATCGAACGTTCGACGGATCCCAAAATACTTCAGCCGTTTCATCAGGAATATAAAATGTGCTCACTGACGACATTCCGGTGCACGTCGTAGAAGGCATTCACTCCCAGGATCGGCACGCCCCACGCTCTATTCCGAGAAGAGAATCGAATCCCACATCACCACGAGACTCCACGACTCGTCGCGAGAATTTGCGCAATTAAAAGAAAGATTGAGTCTCGGAGGAGACAGTGCATTCCTTTGTAAGAATGTGAATGCGACTGATCCTGACGTCGCTCTGCCGCTCTTTATTACGGAACTCGATGCCATATTCTCGCCTCGAGGACACGAATTTACTGCCTACCGAAAGACTACAGCATGTGGCACGTGAACGCATTTTCACCGTCAACCCCCCTCCCCCCTCCCCCCTCTCCCCTCCCTCTCCCCCTCCCCTTAAAACATATAAGAATGTCCCCTCGGCACACGATGCCCCTCTAGTAAGGAAATCCTTTCTGCCTCGCCCTGAAGGATGACGGAGGAGGACCGCTCTCCTTGGAAGCTCTTTCTACCTGCCTCGCGCATGCGCAGCTGCATCGCCAAGCGGGCGATCCTCTCCCTCGCGATGACGTGAGCACAGCGAACGGCCCTCCTTTAGGGAGGGCGAAAGTTGCCGAGCGCCGGCAAGAGCACGAATTCGACAAGTCACTTTTTCATATATCGAAACGTTTATTTTTCATCGATTAAAAAAAACCAGTAAATTTCACGCAGTAGTATTATTTGTTAGTGAATCACGTTAATTTATAATCACATTTCTTCTGTTAACAAGTCGTACGCATCCGATTTCTTCCGAAAAAAAAAGAGGATAACAGACTTCCACCACTCTTCACACATAATCAGCGGAAAGGAATCGGAAAATCCTCACCGGTTCTCACTTGAGGCCTCAAGCGAGTTCCCACGAGGCTGGATCGACGAGTTCCCTCTGCATCGAAAACTCTCATCTCGGGGCAGTGACGTCACACTCGACTGACGTCACCCTTCTCTTCTTCCACCATTGCCACGGATCCATCTCACAGGCGTTTTCAGTTTGGCAGAGCGACCTCTCCGGTGACGTTCTTTCTAAATCCCGGAAAACGCCTTCGAAACTTTCCGTGGGTGTGGAACTGTTTCTCCTGCGATCTCGAGTGTTCCACTTGCTTTTCACGATTGCCACGACTATTTAACCGAATCTGCCAGTACCCCTCCGCATCTCATATAATTCCACGTGTCTAGTAGTAGTTTCAAATAGGACGGCCCGACGAAACCGAGATGAAACCCAGGGATGCACGTTTCACGTGCATCACTTCTGCACGCCCAAAATGAAGATCCACACACGTCTCATGCGACATTTTGGTGAGAGAAACCCCATAGCGGCCCCAAATTCCCTGAATATACCCACAAAAAGAAGTCTAACCGACTCGAGCAGCGAATGCGGCCATCCACCGACTCGAGCCGTGTCTCTCGACCCAGCACGTCAAGGAAACTTTAATGAGAGGACTCGACCCTCCCCCCTCCCCGCCCCGCCCCGCCCCGACCCCGAATCGAGAC